TTTCTCTTCTTCACATCAGCACACCCAGCATCCAGTTCTATTTTACCATAGCTAGTCTTCTTTCTAGTTTTCAAATCTGCTGTTTCAAATTAATCAGATTTTTTTTCCTCATAAAAAATGAGACATCTTGCTTTTGAGGTTGACTGAGAGGTTTCCCCCCATTTTTACATTCTTACTGTAAAGCTTATGAGCTTTTGAATCTGTTCTAAACATGAAATACTTATTTGGAAGCATGATAGTAAAAGGCATCAATTTCTACAAAGGTATTTATAGATTTGAGTCCAGACATAGCTCTGGGAATTTACAAAATCTTGATTGACCCAAAGTGCTGGGGTTTTTTTAACAGAAGAAGATACTTGCTTCCTAAAGCCTCTTTTGGCTGCCAGTTACCTCTGTCAGCTTTGTGTCTTTATGCTTGCCTGCCCGCTTGCTTCCCTACATTAGAGGAGGAGATGCTCTGCCATGATCGTGGTTGCAGCAGGGTCCCAGGGAGTTTGGGAACTGGCAGTGGTCCTCTTACTGTAGCACAGCACCATAGGATTGTTCCCTTTGCATGTCGAGGTGGAAAGAGATTTGGAAACACATGGGTGCTTCCAAGTGGAACTTCTCAACCACTAATTCTGAGTGTTATCACCTTGCTGCCTAATGAATGCTTTGAATGGTCTGTCACAAGTTTTCTGTACAAGACAAATTGGCTGTAGGAAATGAATGATGATGCCCATTTTGTTTCATTATTAGCAGTAATATGCTCCATTTTTCAGTAGGAGGAAGAAATAGGGAAGGGGAATTGCTTATAGACTTGTTAATTGCAGAAGGTTTTAGACCTTCATGGTAGGGAGAAAGGGATAGACAACACTTCTAATACTGAGTAGTTATTCTGGAATGTGTTTGTCTTATCTAGGGACAGTACTAGACAGCACTGTCCTTGACTGTGACTTGTTATTCACAGACCAATACCCAGCCTGGACTGCATTTACATCCACATACATCTATTGACATTCTCCCCCAGAAACACACATATAGGCACTGGATTTGTAAGACTTCAGCGAGTGCTTTGATGTTTTATTGAACACGGTGCCTAGAAGCACAAGGAGAGGCTGAGGTGGGAGTAGGGTTTTTTCACTAGACTTGAGGTGTTTCCATTTTAGGCAGGTCATTGAGGGGAGTTATCTAGTCTTCCTTGGGAATTAAGTGAAAAAAAAGATATTAATGTGCACTGGAATTTTTGGATCCTCTTTTGAAGGAACCTTGAAACCAGCTCAGCCATGACACTGGTATAAGTCCTGAGCAAAGTGGCATTGCATATTCTTGTTTCAGGACTGTTGTGTGGGAAGAGACCTTGAGTGAAGTATTTCCACTGTATTTGTGCTTATATTTGTGCCTGACCCTGTGCCCATCTCTCCATATCTTCAGCTTCCTGGGATGAATTCTAGTTAGCTCTTTGTAAGCTGCGATCCTGCAACATATAAATATTCTTGTCCTATAAAGCTCAATAGAAACAAAGCCATGTTAATGCTTCAGTGCTCAGTTTATCAGTGCTGATAATAGTCTCCTCTTTGTGCCCATGCTGTTAGAAATGTTGCAAAAGCCTGACAGTACATTAATGTATATACTCATGGGGAGAGTCTTTCAATGAGATACAGGGTCTGCTGGGTGGGAATCAAGCAATAAAGTAATTAAGTGAGAGGAAGTGATTGCAATGCTTTAATCAATAAGATTGCAGTAAAACTGAATAATGGAAGATCTTGTCCTCTTCTGTCCTCTCCAGTGCTGATCCTGAATGGGGAGCAGTGCTGATGTCCACAGTGAAGCACTATCTCTTCTTGAGTTTCTTCATTCCTTTGACAGCCTAGGATCACATGGGCAAACACACGGCCAAGTTAATTTGCATTCTTCTGGCCATGGTCGCTGTCTGTGTAGTCTTCTAGCATATGGCAAATGCAGGAAAGTGTGACTAGGCTTAAATGTGTTTCAGGGTGAGCTAAACTGAGTTGTGTTGTTGTGTTTGCCACAGGCAAAGTCTGGATATGTGCAGTTGCCCTGGCTCAGCTGGCCCTCTGAAAGCCGTCATGATGCTCTTGCTTGGGAGCACGGATGAGCCCTTGGCATTGCAAAGGCAATGATCAGACAGACTGATGGGTGTGTTAAGGCATTTGGGAGGCAGCCAAACTCAGTACTTTTAAAAATTTCCTTTCACCATCAGCTCCATAGCTGCAGTCCTTCCCTGTAGCTGGAAGCAGGATGCTTGATCCTAGTGCAGTCTCTAATGTGGAGAGGTGGGAGTGGGGTGGGCTGGCCCTGGGGCAAAAGCAGCAGTGGCCATGTAGGGTGATGAGTCCATAACATTTGCTTTTCTTTTTCTTCCATAGCCCTTTTCAATCTAATTCCTGTGGGTCTTCGTGTGGTGGCAATCCAAGGGGTGAAGGCAGGTCTGTACGTTGCCATGAATGCTGAGGGATATCTCTACAGCTCAGTAAGTACTTTGCACTGTTGGGCTCCTGGAGTGCCTTGTTTTTGTAGGTGGGAGGAAGCAGACTGTACTGGGACTTCCAGCTTTTTCTGAAAACAGTCACGTATCAGCAAACCTTTAAAGGCAGGAGTGGGGGGAGCTGCTGCAAGGCCATGGAACTTTAGTGTCTCCACGGAGATTTGTGGCAATATTTTCTGACCTGTGAAGATACACTTTCTGTTCCTTTAAGTCCATACTTAATGTAAGTCACATCGTGGAGGCGTTTATATAGAGTTGGCTGGTCATACTCTGATTTCTCATTTGTGAAATGGCATGGACTCAGTGAGATTGCTTCTGAATTGCACCCAGATACCTGATCATAGGCACTGCCCCAATGGGCCATACTCTGCTTTTGACTGAAATGTAAATCCACAGGAATTCCCTGACTCTCTTAAAAGGGTTCTGGACTATTCTGTTGGCAGAAATTCACCATATTTGTGTGGTCTTTTTAATGGACATAAAAGATAAGTGCAGCAATTTTTGCCGACTAATTCCCTTATAACTTTCTTAGATGGCATGAAAGGGCATGAGGTTATTCATAAGATTCTCATTTAAAGTAAGTAATTGATTTTCACAGTGAATAATTGATTCGGTGATTTATTAAATATGGCAGCCCTTTGCCAGAATTTTTATGCTTCAAATAACTTTGTTCTAGTTCTACATAGTAAAAAGTGATAGTTAATAATACACTTCTCATTTCTGTAGTTATGATAGCTTTACAGTGCATAGCCAGATTCTAATCTCATCTGCCTTTGTGTAAATTTACAGTGCAGTGTTTCTGCTCTTGTCTGGGCACTTACTTTGCTTCAAAAGTGTATGTGAACTTGGAGATGGGACCGAAAGGACAGCAGTTTGGGTTGCTCTATGAAATTTTTCCTAACTTTTATCTTCCATCTTTGTTCCTGGTCAGTTTTATACCACTCACATATGATTGGCATTTCCCCTTTTCCCTTGGGATATAACAAGGCTCTGTCTTCCCAGCAGCTCAGGGTAGAAAGCAAGAGGATGTGTTAGTATGCCTGGCAAGATAGGTCTCAAAACTGGCTGCTTGTCAAGAAGAGACAGAGAGATCAGTCTGGATCTCTGTGAATGCCAGACGCTTCCTGTTCTTTCATAGCCCAGTAAACATAATTGACTGCTTCTAAATAAATTAAATTGGTTTACTAACAATGAAAACTTCCTCTTTTTGTACAGCTATCAGAGTCCTATCAGAGTCCTAAAAGTAATACCAAGCATGGTCTGATACTGCATTATTGCGTGTGCATCCCTCTGGGCACATTGTCAGGGGCTCAGGACTGATGCTTTGCCCTGTTTGTGCAGTGTAGAACACGATTCTGGCCCAGTGCTGAGGCTCCTTGTACTATCAGTGTCCTGTAAATGAGGATTTCAGGAAATCAGAGTGTGTCACAGAGCCACAGCCAGCTAATGGGATCCTCTTGGACTAATGAGTGGTCATCATTTTCTGAACAAATAGTTCAGGGGAGGGAAAGGTGTGGGTCTTTGGAAAAAGAAGAAATAGAAAGTTGGAAAAATTATGTTTGACAGCTGAGAGATTAGAGGAGATGTAGAGAAAAATTACCTCTCTCTAGTAGTAGTGAGACATGATACAAAGGGTGGGAGGGACACACCAAGAGATGGTAGACAGCAGGAAGACCGTGCTGTCCAGGAAACACATCTGTTAGTCATTTCAAGTATCCTAAAAGGCACCAGAACACACATGTATTCAAGTGAGGGTGGTTTAATGGGCCTGCTTATTTCTAGTGAGTGTGCCTGTCTTGAGTAGGAAGGTTAATCAGGGAAGGCTGATGGGGAAGGATGCACTGTGATGGCCAGTGCTTAATGAAGTGAACCTCATTACATGCCACAGCTTGATGGCATTGAGCTCTGTCTGAGCTAATAAGAGTGAAACTGTTCATTTTATCAATGTAATCCAAGGTTTCTGCTTGCAGTTAATGGGTGATGGACCTTTTTGGATACTTGCTTTGTCATGACTGGTGCCTCTGTCTTTGTCTTACAGCAGTAAATCAATGAATTCACTGTGCTTGGGAGCAAACCCCAAGGCAAGGAGATAGAAAATTTGTGGATAAAGTGTGCTAGGAGCAGGGAGTGTGGGTCAAGCTCACAATAAAGGACAAGGGATGAGATCAGGATGCCATGAAAGAACTGGATATGTCTGAGAAGAGCTCAACCTGTTCAGGCAGTCTCTTTTGGATGCTGCAGGTTTCCTTGCGGTGTGAGGGTCCCCAGGCCATGCTGCCTGGACCTCATTGCAGACCACACCAAGGGACACATTGTCCCTGCTCTTGGCTTAGGAGACCCTAAACTACAGCTTTGTTTTCTCTGTGTATGTACCTGGATTTTTTCTCTAGCCTTTTTGGGGGGATTTGTGAAAAAAATGAATCAACGTTCCCTACAGATATTGTTCACTCACACGAGCCAATTGATAAATGAATTGCTTGGCTGCTTTCCATGCTGTGTGGAAGCCCTGTAAGGACTTCTTAGAACACCCTCAAGTCCAGGACTGGTTTCATATAAAATTATCCATAGTAATGTTTTTTGTTGGCTTTTGTTTGGTTTTGGTTTTGGTTGGGGTTTTTTCCCTCCTCTTGAACCCAGATTTATGCTGTAACTGAACATGTCATCACTGTGGGTTTGGTTTTGTTTTGTGGGGTTTTTTGGTAATGTTTAATCTCTACATGACAGCTGAGGTCTTGGCTGACATCCTCTCCCTGGATTCAAGCAGAGGCTGTTACCAGCCTGGTCTTAGGGATGGCTTGTGCCAGCTCCGTCTGAGTTTAGGCCAATGGGCTCTTGAATGAATGGGTTTAGAATAAACAGCCCCAGGAAAATGTCTTCCTTGAGTTGGTTAGCACAAAAGTAGGGCTGAGTAGAGTTTTCTGAAGCCAAATGTGGTGAGACAGCACTTCATAAAAACTTGTGAGACCTTCCCATGGCTCAGCCACCTCACTACCTTCAGCAATGAATTTCCTCGTCCCTACCTCATCTGTTCAGGCAGGTATAGTGTCAGCCGAGGTTGCTGGGTTGAAGCCAACCATATATTCCTAGCCAGCTTTAGGCATTTAGCCTAGATTTATTAGATGCTAAACCTTCTTTGTTTGGGAAGCAGCTACTGGGAACTTGTGCATTGTTTACTTAGACTAGATACCTGATTTTGTTTCCCCCCAGACTAGCTTGTTGCTATCTCTGAGGTCAATGTGGGAATTAGGTGATAAGTAGGCAAGAAAATATTTTGGTTGGAGGCATCCTGCTTTGCAGAAAGTAGGATGGGAGCCACTGTCTGTGTAGCAAGCTTGCACAGTTATTGGTGTGTTCCCTCTTGATTTCCTGTAATGTACAGCAGCTGTAAATTCCCTGATTGTGCACAAAGGTTTCAATCAGCACTTGTTCTGGGGAGGGGGAGCATGGCTCTCCTGAAGATCCACTGTTAGCATTTGATGGCAAAGTGAAAATGCACAGAATGAACAAAGAGCAGTGGGTATAACTTTTAGTGCCTCGGCTCTTGGGAAGAAGCTGAGACCACAGGCTGGTTGTTGCACAGGATTCAGAAACATGGAATAAAGAGGTCTGTTCTGCTCCACTGAGTTTACAGCCTAATCGTAACAGGAGAAGACTCAGAACATGCTCTTCTGTCTGTCTGGAGTTAATAGTTCCACCACCAAATTAATTTCCACTCCTGTGTAACTTTCCTTTGTGAAGTTTCTTCTCTCAGTTCCCAGCTTTCCCTCTATTATTCCTTCAACAACTCACAGGGGCATGGGAAAGGGAGTGCCTGTGAAGTTATTTCGCCTGGGAGGCAAACCTGATTCTCCTGGTACAGATTTTTGTCATGGGGCTGTAGAGTCTCCATAGGTCCACCCAGTCACTCCAAGTACACTGAAAGTGCATCTCTCCATATGATGATATGTATAATTGTGGCATTGCAGCTGGGATTGGTTTTGCCCCAAGTGCAAAACATGTCTTTTCTAAAATGTATTGCTCTCAGATACTCCTTGTTGTTTAAACTCGGAGTTATAATTATTTTTGAAAAAATTGTGATACATAATTTATTGGGAAGACGTAGAAAACCCTAGCAGAGATAGAGAATGCAGAGGGGAAAAAAATGGGTCGCTTACAAGAACTCACTATGGTTTTTCAGTATAAACCTATGAGTTTGAAATGCTGAAATTAGAGCCTGAATCACTTCAAAGATTCCTGCTAATAAGGGAATGATTATGCATAATTTAAAAAAAAAAATCTAAGCAGCATTGAGAAAACCCCAGTCATGCTAAAACCTCAGTGTGTCTTTGCATTTTCTTTTCCTCTCCTTTTTTTCTGCTTTATCATTTTGCATAATAAACACGTCTTGAATAATAATGAACAGGCATCTGGAGAAGTATGTATATGAACTGTATTTTTAATCTGCTTGCAATGCTATAACTATTTTGCTACAACTCCTCTAGGGTTGTTGCACTCCTGTTTACATCACTCCAAGGTCAGGGGCTGGAATCAGTAATGCTGCATTCTTTCCCCTAATAGGCTTGGGGTGTTAAACCTACTCCTGCAATGCCATTTCTTTAATTCCTGTTTGATCTCCAGTGGTACTAGTTGATTTGGTCAGACGTACACATAGGCTAGGCAGGTATCCTGGACATTTTGCAAACCTTGTAAGAAAGAACACTTGTTGGGAGGATTCCTTAGTTCAGGGAAGCCAGGTCAGTGGAGGGAGGGAAATCTCTCCCTCATTGGAGTTCTAATTATTCTTGAAATGGCAAAGCACACCAGGAGAGAAATGTAATGTGCTTTTAATTTATCTCCAGAGTATCTACTCTTCTTCACTGGCTGTTTGAAGGGGCTCGCTGAATGAAGGCATTAACTGGGGGATAAAAAATTCCTCCTCTCCCGTGACTTTTTCATAAATATAGGAACAAAATGGATACTCAAGGAAGCAGCAATTCTGAGAGGAG